GACTCCCACATGGCTGACCACGGTTCGAATCCCAGACCTGGCGACTTATTTTCTCACTTTCCCTCTCTCTCTCTCGCTCTCACTGTCTCTTTCTTTCTCTCTCCCTTTCTGGTCAAATTATAATAAAATTTTAAAATAAATAAATAAATAAAGTTAAATAAAATAAAAGCAAGCCGCCAGGTCAGGAATTCGAACCACAGTTGATCATGTGAGAGTTCAGCACCCTTAAATACCATGCTACCTGCTGGCCCCTGATTCCCAATTTTTTTTTTTTTTGAGAGGTTTTTGCAATAGGGTGCATGTGCTAGCCAGAAAGACAGAGAGAGACAGAGAGAAAGAGGGACAGAAAGCGAGAAATCACCCCCCAGGGAGGATGGCCATGCCGCAATCCCTTCTCCTCCATTCTCTTCTCGGGATCTTGGGAACACACGCACACGCACCCAGAGTGAGTTTAAGCCATCGGGTCCAGGACTCGAACAGTGGGCGACTACATGGGAGGTCAGCGACAGCCATTATGCCAACTACTGGTCCCTATTCCAATTTTTGATGAAGATTTTTAGAGTAATAATTTTAGGCTTGGAATATTTAGTAATTATTATCAGTCCAGGCTCGTTTCTTCATTTTGTATAACATCTTTCTTTATGCAATATCGAGTTACTAATTGATATTGTAAGGAAGTAAGGGAGAGACAAGGAAGAAGTTAGAAATGCTCAGTGGCAATTAGCCTAAAAGTAACAACTACTAGAAGCCATGCTTTTTAGTAAGTTCCTATTTGATAATATTGATTTCTTGAGGTCTATTTTTGAATAGTGCAGGTTACGAGTCATTGTGTTTGTGGCCATAAAAATCATTGCCTTGGGGAGGTGGGCAGCAAGCGGCATGGTGTTAGGGCGCTGGACACTCTCACGTGGCCGACCATGGTTTGAGTCCCAGATCCAGTGGCTTGTTTTCTCACTCACACCACACCCCCGTCTCTCTCTGGTCATACTAAAATCACTGAATGAATAAATAAAATTAAATAAATATTTCTTTTAAAAAAACTTTGCCTTGGGGACCAGCAGATGGTGTAATGGTTACATCACTGGACTCCCATGTGGTCAACTGCAGTTCAAGTCTTGGCTTGAAAATCACTCTGGGGAGAACCAGCAGTTAGCGTAATGGCTATGTCGCTGGACTCCCACATAGTCGACCGCGGTTCAGGTCCCGGACCTGGTGGCTTAAAACTCATGCCGGGTGCGTGTGCATGCATGCCCAAGATCCTGGGAGGAGAATGGAGGAGAAGGGATTGTGGCGTGACCATCCCCTCTGGGGGGTGATTTCTCACTTTCTGTCTCTATGTCTCTCTCTGTCTGTCTGGCGAGCGCATGCACCCTATAGCAAAAACCTCTCCAAAAAAAAAAAAAATCACTCTGGGTACATGTGTGTATGTGCCTAGAATCCCAAGGGAAAAATGGAAAAGAAGGGATTGCAGCGTGGCCCTCCCCCGGGGGGGGGGGTGATTTTTCACTTTCTATCTCTCTGTATGTCTCTGTCTCTCTGGCAAGTGCATGTGCCCTATAGCAAAAATCTCTCTAAAAAAAAAAAAAGAAAAAGAAAAATGAATTTTCGTCATGGCCCAGCCATGATGTTCGCACCGCTGAGGCACTATGCATCACAGGCTGGGACCATATAGGGAACACATAGGAGGTTGGGGTCAGGGTCCTATCCAACCTAAAATGCTGGATGTCGTGGCACACTCCTGTCACTTACCTTTGGAGAAAGGGAGGTAAAAAGATTGTGAGTTCAAGGCTAGCATGAGCAGACACCCTTAAAAATGAAAACAAAAACCATGGAGCTGGCATGTGGCATGGTGGTTGAGGTGCTGGACTCTCATGTGACTGACCACGGTTCAAATCCTGGACCTGGCAGCTTGATTTCTCACTTTCCCTCTGTCTCTCTTTCTTTCTCTTTCTGTATCTCTCTGGTCAAATTAAAATAATAACAAAATGATGATGAATAAAATTAAATAAAATAATTCTTAAAAAAAAAAAAAAGCCTAACTTTTGTCTTCATCACTTATCTGACTTTTCAGACCGTGTTTGAGAGTGTTTAGTCTCCCTCCAGTTTAAGCTTTTGGCCTAATATGTTCATTTTAACCCCTCTCTTATTTTTGTAGAGCCTTTGGGACCCCTTTATATTCCTAAAGGCAGAGCAGTGGATTGGCAAGCATATCAGCAATCTTAAACTTTGTGTAATTTTTTTTTTTGAAGTTTATTTATTTCTTCCAGGATAGAGAGACCGCATAACCAACAGGGTCTTTACTCCACAATCCACCCCAGCCTCAACCAGCCTAGATTACCAGCACATGCGCATGCACCTCACATTCACAGGGAGACCTCAGTTCCCAAACCTAGCCTAGGAGCTTCCCATGTGGCCCCACTATGGCGACCTATTACATTTCTCTGCATCAGCGTGGCTGCCTCCTGTGTAATTTTTTTTCTTTCTTTTTTAATAATTTTTTGCTATAGGGTACTTGTACTCAGTCAGATAGAGACAGAAGAAAAGATAGAAAATGAAAAGTCATCCCCTGGGGGGATGGCCATGCTGCAATCCCTTCTCCCTCCATTCTCCTCTCAGGATTTTGGATACGCACATGAGCCCAGTATGATTTTCAAGTCGCCAGGTTCAGGACTCCAACTCTGCTCAGTTAGCATTTAGGATCCAGGCACTTTTTTTTTTTTAAAGAATTATATAATTTGTTCATTCATTCATTCATTTAAACAGAGAGAGAGAGAAAGCTGCCAGATCCAGAACTCAAAACATCTTGGCCATGTGGGAGTCCAAGGCCTTAACCTCCATGCCACCTGCCAGCCCCAGGATCCAGCACTTTTAACCTCCTTGCTATCTGCTGCCCCGGCCCCCTGTAATTATTTTAAGAACTAAGATTTGTTTGTTTATTTTTTTCTTTTTTTCCTTTCATTTATTTATTTTTACATTTTTCCACAAACATTTACTTTGCATAGCTAAAAATTTTAGCTCATACTCCATAATTCTTGACAGTTTACGAACAACTTTCAAAATTAAGAACTAAGATTTGACCACTGTTATATCTAAAGCTGTGAGAGGCTGTTTTTTTGTTTTGTTTATTTATTTATTTAATTTTATTTAACTTTATTATTTATTTCATTTTAATTTGACTAGAGAGGGACAGGGTGAGAGAGAGAGCAGGAGAGAGAGAGAAAGCAAGCCACCAAGTCCGGGACTTGAACCACGGCCAGCCTTATGGGAGTCCAGCACCCTTAACTACCACACCACCTGCCGGCCCCTGTTTTGTTTATTTTTAAAGAGAGATTTTCGCTATAGGATGTATGTGCACTCAACGGAGAGACAGAGAGAGAGAGAAAGAGAAAACAAGAAATCACCCCCCAGGGGAGATGACCATGCCACAATCCCGTCTTCTTGTCTCCTCTCAGGATTTTGGGAATGCACACACATGTGCCCAGCGTGAGTTTTAAACCACCAGATCTGAGACTCGAACCATGTTCAACCATATGGGAGTCTAGTGACATAACCATTATGCCATCTGCTGGTCCCAAGAGGCTATCTTATAATAGAGTCTTGTGTGTGTAAGTTTACAAAACATGTTTGTTTTTTTTTTTAGTATATTTATTTATTTAATTAAATTTGATATTATTATTATTTTAAATTTGACCAGAGAGGGGCTGGTAGGTGGGGTGGTAGTTGAGGGCACTGGACACCCACATGGCCGACTGTGGTTCAAGTCCTGGACCTGGCGGCTTGCTTTCTCACTTTCTCTCTCTCTCTCTCACTGTCTCTCTCTGATCAAATTAAAATAAATAAATAAAGTTAAATAAAATAATTCTTTAAAAAAATAATTTGGCCAGAGACAGAAAGCAAGAAAGAGGGGAAGCAAGAAAGCAAGACACCAGGTCCTGGACTTGAACCGCGATTGGCCATGTAGGTGTCCAGTGCTTTTAACTACTAAGCTACCTGCCGGCCCCCCCCAGCAAACACATTTCACATTTCTTTTTTTTTTTTTTTTAATTAAAGAATTATTTATTTAACTTTATTTATTTATTCCTTCATTTTTTATTTTACCAGAGAGAAATAGACAGAGAGAGAAAGAGAAAGAGAGAGAGAGAGAAGGTGAGAAAGCAAGCCACTAGGTCCAGGACTTGAACTTGGTCAATCATGTGGGATTATCCAGTGCCTTAACCACCATGCCACCTGCTGATTCTCACAAACACGTTTCTAAGGTAGCAAAAATAAGTAGCCTCTCAAAGAAGTATCACAGATTTCATATAGCAGAAATATATGTCAATTGTTTGTCACATTTCTGCCAAACCCTGTATATATTAGGTTGTCGGGAAAAATGCATCATGAAACATTGTTACATAGGAAAACATGACTTTCCCAACAACCTAATATTTGCTCCTGGAATATCGAATTTTTTTTTTGAGAGGTTTTTGCTATAGGGCGCATGCACTCGCCAGACAGACAGAGAGAGACAGAGAGACAGAAAGTGAGAAATCACCCCCCAGGGGGATTGGCCACACCACATTCCCTTCTCCTCCATTCTCCTCTCGGGATCTTGGGCAACGTGCCCGGCATGAGTTTTAAGCCACCGGGTCCGGGATGCAAACCGCAGTCGTCTACGTGAGAATCCAGCGATATAGCCATTACGCTAACTGCTGGTTCCCAAATTAATTTATTATTATTACTGTTTTTTAATTTGCTTTAGGGCATATGTACTCACCAGAGAGAGAAAGAGAGAATGTGTCCCCAGGTCTGGCACTCAAGCTGTGGTTGGCCATGTGAGAATCCAGTGCCTCAACAACTGCACCATCTGCTGGTCCCAGATTTTTTTTTAAAGTGCTGAGATTCTATATAAAGAAAGAATAGCGCTGAATTGAATTCTCTAGAAGTTGGGTAGCACATATTTCAGTGAAAGAGAATGTTGTCTTTTGAAAGCCTAATTTTGTTCCTTTTTTACTTTGAAGCATTTATTCGGAAAGACGCCTTGCCCCTGGGAACCTTTTCCAAGTATACCTGGCATATCACTAATATCCTGCAAGTCAAACAAATCTTAGACACCCCTGAGGTAAGAGTTTATCTCTGTAATAGTGGGAGGGTGAAGGGGAGAGAGGAAAGCGAGTGTCAGGAGCACGTTTGCACCAATTCGTTCAATTACAGATGCCACATACTAAGAGATTCTTTAGAAATATCTGTGGCTTTGTAGCTAGGACTATGATTTTAATGTGTATTCCCTGTGGCTTGAAAAAGGCTGTCAAATTGGAGTATGCTTTTTTTCTCCACCTTTGGGATTAAAAAGCAGAGGATTTTCATTATAAATTAAATAATGATCCATGGGCCAGCCCTGTGGCACAGGGGAATTGTACTGTTCAAGAGAAGCCAGATCCCATGTGACAACCACAGTTCAGATCCTTGGCCCAGGCAGTCTGAACTGCCAGGCACATGTGGGAATGCCTAAGATCCGACAGAGTGGAGGGCTGGAGAAAGGAATTGTGGAGTGGTCATACCCTGTAGAGGGTCTTCATCTTGTTCTCTTGCACGGACCTACTCTTATCATAAATAAAGGAAAATTAAAACAATGTGGTCCCCTAGTGGCATTCACGAATCCTAGGTTGGACTGGCAGGCAGCTAGAAAGTCTGTAAACCATTTTTTTTTTTTTTTTTGAGAGGTTTTTGCTATAGGGCGCATACTCTCACCAGACAGACAGAGACAGAGACAGAAAGTGAGAAATCACCCCTCACGGGGGATGGCCATGCCGCAATCCCTTCTCCTCCGTTCTCCTCTTGGGATCGGGCACGCACGCACACGCAACTGGTATGAGTTTTAAGCCACTGGGTCCAGGATGCAAACCGCGGTCGACTACATGGGAGCCCAGCGACATAGCCATTATGCTAACTGCTAGTCCCGAAAGTCTGTAAACCATCTGAAATGATGTACTATATGTGAAGTCAGTGAGTCTCGCATAATTAAGCATTCCTTTCCAAATCGCAATTTCATTCTCTTTGGAAAAGTGACCTTTAATTAATTTTTGCTCCACTTCATGAGGAAAAACATTAGACATTTAAAAATATTTTGGGGGGAACCAGCAGATGGTGTAATGGTTACATTGCTGAACGCCTACCTGGTCTACTGCAGTTTGAGTCCTGGATCCAGATGCTTAAAACTCACACAGGGCGCAAGGGCGCATGTGCATGTGTGCCCAAGGCCCCAAGAGGAGAATGGAGGAGAAGGAATTACAGCGTGACCATCTCCCCAAGGGGTGATTTCTTGCTTTCTGTTTCTCTGTCTCTCCAAAGAGCCCTATAGCAAAAAAAAACTCTCTCTTAAAAAAAGAAATTTTTTTTCAAGCAGATCCTGCAAATTACAGGAAGAATTTTCCTACAGTAATGGAATATTGTAGAATATTTAACATCATGTGATTTGAAACATTAGGATTCACTTAATTGCAAGGCATTATTATGTTCAGAAAAATAATGTGGGTTTTTTTTTTATTTTTATTTTTTGCCAGAGGGCACATGCACTCTACAGAGAAAGACAGAGGGAGGACAAAGAGTGCTAAAGCACCCATGGAGGGGTAGTCACCCACCAATTTCTTTCCCTCCATTTCTTTCTCCTTTTGGAACTGTAAGCACACACACATGTACACTGGCTAGTTTATCAAGCTGCCAGATCTGGGATTCAAACCATGCAGTTGGCCATGTGGGATCTAGTCACCTTAACTACCTTGCCACCTGCTTTTCCTAATTTATTTATTTACTTATTTTATTTTGTCTTAACCACCACATCATTTTCTGGTCCAAAATAAGTCATTGGTAGCTATAGAACCTATGGAAACCCTAAGAAAAGGCTTATATTAATGCTATATTAAACCCTGGGAGGATTTTTTTTTTTATTTTTATTCATTGTCATTATTTTATTTTATTATTTTTTTAAAAAATTTGTTTTCACTTAACATTATTTATTTATTTATTTTTAATTTGACCAGAGAGGGACAGAGTGAGAGAGAGAGAGAAAGAAGGAAAGTGAGAAAACAAGCCTCCAGGTCTGGGACTCAAAT